GAAATGATTAGAAACAGCTTCATAAACTTGTATACAACAACAAAAATATATATTATGGAAATCAAAACCTTAAATACAAAGCCTAATTTTGACTCAAACGACTCAGAACTGAAGTTCAATAATCTTCGTAAACCAAAAATATATTGTTATTTGGTTATAAATAGATATATCAATCAGAGGCAGTCATGTGAAGCTGAACAAGCGAAGCATAAACCCCACCGTCGATTTTGATCAACGTCTCGTGAGTTCCTTTCTCAGCGATCACACCGTTCTTAACGACGGCGATAACGTCAGCGTTTTTAATGGTCGATAACCGGTGAGCCACCACGATGGTGGTTCGGTTCACCATCACTCGGTCAAGTGCGTCTTGAACCACTCGCTCTGATTCCGCATCAAGAGCGCTCGTTGCTTCGTCCAAAAGCAATATCTTCGGCTCCTTCACGATGGCGCGTGCTATAGCCACGCGCTGTTTCTGTCCTCCTGATAACTGAATCCCTCTTTCTCCAACCACCGTGTCGTAACCCTAAAAAAGTGTATTTCTTGCGTCATAAGCAAACTATAAAAAAGCAGAGTTATTCACAAATTTTTGATTTCTTTCTCTTTATCCTTACCAGTTGTATGCTAGAGATGAATTTGTGTGCATTGGCAAGTTCTGAGGCGGCTATGATTTCGGACTCAGTCGCGGCCTCTTCGCTCCCTTTGCCATAAGCAATGTTGGCTCGGATTGTGTCGTTGAACAAGACAGGCTCTTGTCCCACGAGTCCCATTTGTTGTCTCAACCATTTCAATTGCATCTTCTTGAGCTCAACTCCGTCTAGAGTTATATGACCGGAATCCGGATCGTAGAATCTTTGTAACAGCGAGATCACTGTCGATTTCCCGGATCCACTTTCTCCGACCAAAGCAACAGTCTGAAAACAGAAATTGATTAGAAACTTGAGCTGTTAAAAAATTCTTAAGAGAAACTTAGGGTTTGGTCGACAGATTTGTTTACCTTCCCTGCTCGAATGGTTAAGCAAAGATCGCGGAAGATTTGAATGTCTGGTCTTGCTGGATAAGTAAAGCTTATGTGACGAAGCTCGATATCTCCCTTAACATTCTCCAAGACCGTACCTGACTCATCGCTCGAATCTATCTTCGATTTTCTATCGATGATTCCAAAGATCGAAGCAGCTGCAACCCTAGCTTTACTAGAATCTGGTGCAAAAGAACTCGACTGAGAAATCCCAATCGCTGCCATTGTCAACGCGAAGAAAACCTGCAAGAGATCCAATCATTCTTCATCACCACGTCACATAGATTTTCAAATACATTTTAAGAAGTGATTAGGACAAGTACTTTACCTGAAAAACATCATTGAAAGTAATCTTTCCGTCTTCAACAAATCTAGCTCCCGCGTAGAAGCTTGTCGCATATACACAAAATAGAATGAAGAATGAGACTCCAAACCCTAATCCGCTGATGAAACCTTCCTTTATTCCGTCTTTTATCGGACCTTCGCATTTCTTCTTATACATCTGCATCACTTTCTCCTCCGCGCAGAAAGACGCTACCGTTCTTATACTCCCCACCGCATCGTTCGCTATCTGACTCGCCTCCTCATATTTTGACTGCAATGTTATCGAAAACCTTTGGTAAGTTTCTTGGTCCACAAGAAAAACCAGAGGATAGAAATGAACTTAATATAAACCGAATTGATTGATGTACATACCTTTGCGTCGGCAGTGAAACCTTTCAAGAACTTGACTTGAATATAACCATTGATACCAATAAGAGGAAGCATCACTAAGATTATAAGCGCTAATTCCCAACTCGCAGTGAACGCTATAATCAATCCAGACGCAGCAGTGGCAGCGTTTTGAACCGCTAGAGACAACGCATCGCCAACCAAAGCCCTAATCAAAGCTGCATCAGCGGATAACCTTGCTCCCAACGTACCGCTCGAGTTTTGTGGCTCATCGAACCACCCAACTTCCATGTGAACCGTTTTCTGAAAACACATTGATCGTACTCGTCGAATCAGTTTGCCTCCAGCTACTGCAAACAGATAGGTTTGAGCCGGTGTGACAACCATCGCAGTTGCTCCAAGAGCGAAAAATATTAACGCCCAAAATCTTGAATCTTTCTTTAATATGTCAGGCGGTTTGAAGAACGCTTCAATGACTTTCGAAATCAGAATCCCGAAAAGCGGGAAAATTGCGCCGTTGATTGCTGCTGCTACGGCTCCTAGAAGGAGAACCGGGATCTCGGGTTTGTTTAGAGCAGCGATTCTGGTAAGCGATACTTTTGGAACCGGTTCTTGACTCGTCGTTACGGTTTCCTCTGGGCCTGCTCGGCGGCTACCACTACCAAGTTCTACTCCAAGAACATTCAAAGAATGATGACGGCTGCTATTTCCAGCTGACGAAGTCCCGCCGCTGATAACGGATCCTTCCATTGATTTTTTCAGATTCGAGTTTCGAAAAGACGATCCCGAAGAAATTTCTGATTTTTTCCCATCATGATTTATCTCTTGTAGCCGAATGAGCTGCGAATAAGCTCCCTCGGGGTCTCTCAACAACTCGGAATGCGAACCTTTTTCTACCATTTTTCCGCGGTGAATTACCGCAATCATATCCGCATTTCTCACCGTGCTTAACCGATGCGCGACGATAACCGTAGTACGGTTAACCATCACTCTGTCTAAAGCCTCTTGAACAACTCTTTCGGATTCCGCATCAAGCGCGCTTGTTGCTTCATCCAGAAGCAAGATCCGAGGGTCTTTAAGAATCGCTCTAGCAATCGCTATCCTCTGTTTCTGTCCTCCCGAGAGCTGCGTCCCGTGCTCGCCAACCATTGTATCTAACCCTTGAGGCAACTTATCTATAAACTTTGCCGCATTTGCTAGCTCAGTTGCTGCTTTAATCTCTTGAACCGTTGCGTTTTCTTTACCGTAGGCTATATTCTCCATGATGCTCGAAGAAAACAGAACCGGTTCTTGGCTAACCAATCCGATCTTGCTTCTTATCCACTTCAACTGAAACTCCTTAAGGTTAACTCCATCAATAAGCACTTCACCGGCTTTCGGATCATAAAACCTCTCAATCAAACTGATCACGGTCGATTTTCCGCTTCCGCTTTCTCCTACTAATGCCGCTGTTGCGCCGCTCGGGATAAACAGAGAGAATCCATCGAATATATCCTCGTCTGGCCTCGCCGGGTAACTGAAATGTACATCTTTAAGTACAATGTCTCCTCGGATATCTTCAAGAACTTTTCCATTTTCGTCGTAAGCATCGATCAAAGGTTTTCTTTTGATCGTCTCAAACATCTTATACGCTGCAGCTTGACCCGCTGCAAATGCGGTTAGACATGGAGATGTTTGCCCAAGTGACCTAAAGGAATAGAAAAACAGAACATATCTGTCAAATCCCAAGCTAATATGTATATATATAAGTGATCATCTCTCGATTTTTACTTACATTGCACTCGCGACCACAATGATGACCACATTGATCACAGCGCCACCGGAATACCCTTTTTCGAGTATCATCTTCCCACCAAACCAAATAGCCAAACCATAGCTACCGAATAACACAAAGAACATTATGCCGAGTCCTAAACCGGTAGAGAACCCTTGTTGAATGCTTGTTTTATAGGCCGAAGTTATGAACTTCTTGTAGTTCTTTATCGCTTGCTTCTCTCCCGTAAAAGAAGCAACCTTTTGAAACACAAAAACATGAAATTAAGCAACAAATCTTAGTCAAGGATTGTTGATACGTTAGGAAGTTGAGTTTTACCGTTCGGATAGACCCGATTGTCTGTTCAACAACAGTTGCTGCTTTTGCATAAGCGGCTTGTCCTCGAGAAGAAGCTCGAGTGACTATTATAGCCATGGCTGCACCAGCCGCAGCCAGAAGAGGAATTGAAGTTAACATAACCAATGTTAGTAACCATCCTTTAGCAAAAGCTAAAGCAAATCCACCAAAGAATGTAGCTATCAACTGAACAAACTTCCCAACCTGCATGTTCCAAGAAAAAGCAACCGAATCCAGTCATTATATGTAAAAGCTCGAACCGCGATATCGAAGTTTCGCTATTACCTTCTCGCCCATGGCGTCTTGTATAAGAACAGTATCTCCAGACATTCTACCAACAACCTCTCCAGTGTTTGTTTCGACATCGAAGAATCCAATGTCTTGTCTTAGAATTGTTTTCAGATACATACTTCTTATCCTCGCCGCTTGTCTCTCTCCCGTGATCATCCA